ATCTGTGAGAGAACTTTCAAGGTGTGACGTGGCACCCAAGCAAGTGTAAGCCATTTCTTTGATTTTTTTCATGTCTCCTTGGGTGCCGGTTCTAACCACGTTCACAAAATACAACATCAGCTGTTTAGACGTGCACTCAGTTCACGTAATGAGCATGGACTGAGTGCGTTCTGTGTACCGGCTCCAGGCTGGGCTTCCAGGGGCCCAGCCTGAGTGTGAGGCCGATCTCGGGATGCTCTCCATCTCCGAGGAGGGTCAGGCCCATGTTTGTTCAGCGACTGTCAGAGGGGTTGATCCCACGGACTGTGGGGCTGTGAGGAGGGCAGGTCCATTCTGAGGTGGGGGAGGGGGTACCCTGGAGGCGCCATCACAGCCGGTTCTTGGCAGCGGGAACAGGGGCCCAGCACGAGGTGGGTCTGGCCAGTGTCAGAGCAGGTGAGGGCGGAAGAGCAGTGACTGTCCTGGTCTTGGAACTGCTCTCCCGCTCGCTACTTCGGGCAGGTGGCCCTGCCCCGTCCCCCAGGTGGGGACCTGAGCCCGGCCCGGCACTGGGGCCCCGCCCCTCTGGCCCCCACCTAGGAGCCTGTTCAGAGCCCCGGGTGCTCCCCTCGCTCTCCTCTGGATGCTTCATCCCTTGAGGGGATGCCCCAGCTGTGCGCCACGGAGCTGTCTCCTGCTCCTCTGAGAGGCTCACTCCTGGGGGAGGCCTCTTGGAAAAAGAGCCAGGGCGGGGGCGGGGGGAGGGAGTTAGCACCACCACCCCCCAGCTGCACGCCGGCCCTGGGCACATGGACTGCGGCGCTGACAGAGGTGGAGGCCGGGCATCCGTCTGGGTGGGAGACCGTGTGAGCCCTCTGAGCCACCTCCCGGCTCTGGTCCACACCCTCCACTCAGCCCTCACTCATCCTGTCACCTCTGGGCAGAACAGCCCACCACCTCCTGGAAGCCCCCCTGGTTTCCCCGGCTCTCATTCCCTGAGAAGTTTGTGGCATCACCATGAGGTCTGTCCGGGAGGTACCTGGTGTGTGATGCCTGATGTCAGAGCCCAGGGCCACCAGACGTCTTGTTTTTTTATTGAAGTGCAGTGGATTTACAGTGTTGTGTTAGTTTCAGGTGTGCAGCAAAGCGATTCAGTTACACACATATAAAGCCATGTGTTCTTTTTCAGATTCTTTCCCATTATGGTTTATTACAGGATATCGAATACAATTCCCCGTGCCGTACAGTAGGAACTTGTTGTTTATCTATTTTATATACAGGAGTGTGAATCTGTTAATCCCAAACTCCTAATTTATCCCTCCCCTCCCTTTCCCCTTTTGTAAGTTTGTTTTCTGTGTCTGTGAGTCTGTTTCTGTTTTGTAAATAAGTTCATTGGTACCTTTTTTTTTTTAAGATTCCACATATAAGTGATTCATATGATACTTGTCTTTCTCTGACTTACTTCACTTAGTATGATCACCTCTAGGCCCATCCATGTTGCTGTAAATGGTATTATTTCATTCTTTTTAACGGCTGAGTAGTATTCCATATATGTATGTACCACATCTTCTTTATCCATTCATCTGTCCATGGACATTTAAGTTGCTTCCATGTCTTGGCTATTGTATACAGTGCTGCTGTGAACGTTGGGGTGCATGTATCTTTTCGGGTTATGGTTCTCTCCGGGTATATGCCCAGGAACGGGATTGCAGGATCATACAGTAACTCTATTTTTAGTTTTTTTAAGGAACCTCCATACTGTCCTCCATTGGTTGTACCAACTTACATTCTCACCAACAGTGCAGGAGGGTTCCCTTTTCTCCACACCCTCTCTAGCATTTATTGTTTGTAGACTTTTTGATGATGGCCATTCTGACTGCTGTGAGGTGGTACCTCTTTGTAATTTTGATTAGCATTTCTCTAATAATTAGTGATGTTGAGCATCTTTTCACGTGCCTCTTGGCCATTTATATGTCTCCTTTGGAGAAATGTCTATTTAGGTCTTTTGTGCATTTTTTGATTGGGTTGTTTGGTTTTTTGTTATTGAGTTGTGAGCTGTTTGTATATTTTGGAGATTAAGCCCTTGTCGGTCAGTCGCATCATTTGCAATTTTTTTTTTTTTTTTTTTTTTTTTTG